GCATTTAATAAGTTATAACATCAAACAATAACTCATTTTAAAAGTTCACTTACCTCATTTAGTTTTGGATAATATCTTACCCAAAACCTTGAGGAACTAAGAAATAAACAACATGATGAATAGTTCTGTAAGAATTTGACCTTTCTACAATGAACAATTTTAAGATGAAGAGAAGTAAGGTTTTATTTTTAAAAATAATTGTTATTCCTGCACCACAGTGAATTGAAGCACCATTCCTATACTTCAATAAACAAAGTCCATGTTACTGAATATCTGTTTCATTCAAAATCTACTTAATTTTAAGGTACTCACCCCAAATTAACTTCTGGTTGCTTACTAGAGTGTTGTGACTAAAATATACTCACTGGCAAACACTCATATATGAAGCACCTTATCAAGGAAGGCCAACTGTATTTATCTGGAACACTGTGTGACTAATTGTTCCACAACCAGAGCAGGTGTGCACTGTGCTGTTATATGATCAAGTTAATGACCAAAGAAGAAATGTGAATAAATTAAGAAAAGGAACAATAATATTTAAAATTGTAAGTGATGTTATTATTTGATCGGTTATTTCATTATCTCTTTAAAAGTAAAAGCAATAGGAGAAATGTGACAGATATGCTGGGCTCTCATAGGATTCCAAGTTAGGTTAAGAATTCATCCCATCATAAATACTTCAAAGTGCTTGTGAGGAAAAAAACAAAGCCAAATCAAATCCACACCACAGTTACCACAATTCATCACCTTACACACTGGTCAGAGGCATTTCCTGTATCTACGAGTCCCATCCTAATTTACTAGGAAAAGTATAGATGCTGAAAACACATATCAATGTTTTATAAGAAAACCAAATGAAGATTATTGATTCACCAAATTATACTTTAAAAATCTACAATTAACCACAGGTTACATGACAGAGAACAGTGAGATATGGGATTTTAACATTCTACATGACTTTATCTTTAAACAGTCCATCAATATAAACATATGTATAATTCAATGGGTTTTATCTCATTATCATAGTTCAATCTTCTCGGTGGCAGGAAGGTATTAAACACATGTATCATTCATTATGGCCTCTGAGAAATGGAAAATTTCTCATCATTTCGTTGTAGCAAATATGTCACTCTTGATCACAAAATTTAGTAGTATTTCTGTTAAGTCCATGAGAAAGAAATAAAATGTTCATAAAACAAATATCTTAAAATTAACAAATCTTCTTAAATTTTTATCCCAGACCTTGTACCTTGATAATATGGTTGAGTGTTTTAACAGGGTCATGACTCAATGACAAACCTGAGGAGCACTATGAGTATGATAAGCCATCATCTCCTAATCAGCTACATTTTACTTTCTCAGCACTAAAAGTGGGGATAGAGTGGGAGGCTGGGAGCATGGTGGGGTTGCAGGAGGAGGGGAGGGAGAGGGAGCTGGGATTGGCATGTGAAGCAAGCTCTTTTCTAAAAAAAAGTAATAAATAATGAAAAAATATTGAACCCAGAATATTATTCATGCTAACAAACAACTCTCCCACTGACCTATATCTTTGTCTATCAAACAGTTTTTTTTATTATAGAGGCATTCCCAAATGTTTCTTTTTGAAATCTTGGGGGGTTTATCAACATTTTCTAACATAAAGTTTTTTCTAGATTTAATGATACTATAAATAATTTTCCAAACAAGGACTATTCAATACATGAAAAATGTTTTCTAAATTATTCTACACATAAATACAGATCAGAACATCTAACACTCTCGGTCATGTATTGGCACCAGCATCCATAAACTACTCACACTCTTAGCTACCAACTTATTGTGTCTGCACACTACTTTGATCATAATGTGATTTATACAAGAAACAGCCAATACTTTTCCTGCCTTGTAAAGGAGTAGACAGCCACTCTGTCTTATTTAGACCATCCAAAGTGATTTCTCTGTAGTGACCTAATATTAGAGCAGCTCAAACAAAACTATTCATTGTCCTGTATCTTTGGGAGTAAAAAGTAATAACCATGAATCTTTGCTTCAATATTTAAGGAGTTCTGGTAGTAAATAATGTATTGTTGTTCAGAAAATATTACTGTACACCATTTAAATACTTGCACAATTCTCTTTTCAGAAATCTATGTTGCCCCTAGAGAATAAAAGAAATATGTTCATAATGAGACTTTAAATTCTTTTGTATAAATTTTAGCACCATCAATAGCAAGGAGTTAGTGCTATAATCTCATCACTTTTATCAGTATTTTATAGCTATTTTCAAATAAAAATATACTTATTTCCAAACATGCACAAAATGCATTTGACTATAGTACATATGCATCAATTTAAAAACAACCTAAAATTTAATTTTTCCACTTTAACTCAAATAAATATAAAGCAACTTTTATTCTGTCAGTGTTTGCCACATGTGTTAAGTGATAAGAGGAACATATTTTAAAAAGAAAAGAGTTACATTATATCTGGTATAGTTGCACACATTTCAAACAACTATTGAATATCATAATACATCTTATTTTAATATGACAAGTTCCTTTCACTTTAGAAAAATTGTCCTTAAACAATTGCATCTAAGTGTTAATTTCAGAAACAGTTTCTAAATATCCAGTGTGTGAGTGTTTGCCAGGCAAGGCCCTGCTACTTGTTTAGCACCATTAGATGTTGTAAAGAATGAAGGAACAGTAAGATGTAATATCAAATTTGTCATCCATTTTTCTTATTTTCTTATGTGTGTATTTTGCCAAACTATTAGAATTGCTACCATTCAAAGAGACTTTCATAGCCTTAAAGCACCAACTAAATTTATTGACTGTACTTTGAGACAGTTCCTCTTAACTGTTTTTACAGAACAGGACATGAAGTTCATGAGGGATGGAATTAGTGTTCCATAACGCATAAGTCTGTCTATATGGAACAGATTATGTTACACTAATCTCTTTAAAAATAATGTCAGGAGTTAAAATAAGATGTGCCTACCAGAAGAATTTCTGAATTACACTTGAAAAAAATAACAGGCCACTCAGTCTCAGCCCAGTTAACCATTGTTGTATTTGTAACTCCACTTGAGAAAGCTTAAGGCAAGACGAGGTTTTTCTGTGTATATATGAACAAATTCTCTCAGCTCTGCCTTCTGTAACTTGACTTTGAATGCATAGAAGGCTGCATGCTTTCCTGGGTGGACAAACAAATGTATATGGATAAAAGAGCTATCACAAAAGATTTGGTGCCTTTGCTATTATCCTTCACATCTTAATAGTCCTTTAAGTTTCTGGAAACACATCTCTGATTTAAGTTCACTGTGCTATCATCAACCTATGACACATAAATCATTGTTCTGGTTTGAAACAATGGATTATCCAATAAAGTATTCCAGTCAGTGTAAAAAATTCTCTGCAATATCCTTATGAGATAGTTTGTTTTTGTTGGAACATCCAAAAGAATCCTTTATTTCAAAGAAATATTTTTAAGTGTTAAAAGTTTGCATTAAAATATTTTCAGATTTACATGAATTTCCTTGTAGAGTGCAAAGACCTGCCGTCTCCATTTCTTCCTTTTCAGTTTCTCCAATTGTTACCATTCATCAAACTTGTATACTCCATATATACTTGATCAATATAAAACATATATAAATAGACAGACAGACAGATAGATAGTTGATAAATCAATGATAGACATAGGTACATTAATGTATACACAGATATGTTTATGTATTTTATATGCACATACAATATTTTTAATCATTTATGGTCAAGTTGCAGCTATTTTTTAAATTAATTTTTATTTAAATTAAAAACAATCTTATTGCTGGGTGGTGGTGGCGCACGCCTTTAATCCCAGCACTCAGGAGGCAGAGGCAGGCAGATATCTGTAAGTTCGAGGCCAGGCTGGACCGACAGCCTCCAAAACAATACAGAAAAACCCTGTCTCATAAAACCAAATAAATAAACAAAATAATCTTATGTTACATACTAATCCCAGATCCCCTACCATCCCCCCACCATACCCCCATCCACTCCTCAGGGCGGGTGAGGCCTTCCATGGGGGATCATCAAAGTCTATCACATCATTTGGGGCAGGGCCTAGCCCCAACCCCAGTGTTTATAGACTGAAAGAATATACCTCCACAGGGAATAGGCTCCCAAAGTCCATTCATGCACTAGGGATAAATACTGGGTCCACTTCCAGTGGCCCCATAAACTGTCCAAACCTGCCAACTGACACACACGTTCAGGGGGACTGGTTTGCTCTTATGCAGGTTCCCCAGCTGTCAGTCTAGAGTATGTGAACATTTGCTTGCTCAGGTCAGCTGTTTCTGTGGGTTTCCCCAGCATGGTCTTGACCTCTTTATAGAAAGATTTTACTATATGCTGTATATTTTCTGTACAAACATTTTTTTCAGATAAATACCTCAATACACAGTGTACATCCATGAACACATACACACATACACACACACACACACACACACACACCCTTCTGTATCTTTTCCAAATATTATTAACACCCAATGAGTAGATAAAATCATATACATAAGAGCTATGATATATGACTACTAATCAAATAAACACAGACAGAAGTTAATTATGTCCTCAGAAAACCTTTCCCCTCCACACATTCCCAAACCATAATGTTTGCTTCAATGATGCTGGAAATCTGTTATTTCAGCCCTTGCCATTAAATATAATCTGTAAAGAAGTCAACAGAATGATGATGCAAATGCCTTGATCTTATAAGTAAACAAACCGGTGTTACAATCCCAACAATGACCTTTAATCATTAGGTAATCTCAGAAAGAAGCAATAAGTCATATTTCAGCATTAAAATAGGTAAATTTTAAAGGGTTGCATATGAGTTTTAAATAGATTCAATATTTGGGTTCTGGGTCAAAAATATCCACTGTATATTAATTATTCACTAGCATGTGTTATTGCAAGAGCTTTAAAGTCCAAATATTTTAAAGGCCTCTTTAAAATACAAAACTATACAAATAAACTGAGTATGTGGAAATGAATTTATTCATTTTTCTGAAGGACACAATAACAGCAATATTGATTTCCCAGAGCATGATGAACATCAAGAAAGATTTGCCACAAGGAAAATGAGTAAGTTTAAGAACAAACATTGCATACTGGGCTCTTCTTGGACACTGATGACTTTACGATGTTGCAAGGACTTTGCTTCATTTTAATGTTTGCCACTCAGTGTTCAAATACAGAAGCAGTTTACTCCCATCAATCTCTGATTAAGGGCATAAGTGAGGGAAACAACTCTAAAATTATCTGGAAATATGTATTATCATGATTTGACTACTACATATAATATATATGTGTTGAAATATTAGCCTCACGGAGTATACTCACAGGCTCAATGATCGCATGTTAAGCAAAACTACTTGAAAATACTTAATACCTATTAAATGCTGACAATTCCAATTTGATCATTAAAACATACCAAATTTTAACAGTGTACACCACAAATTTGTACAGCTAAAATTACAAAAATATATTTTTGGGTTTTTTTAGCATGTTTAAAAAGAATTAAGACATGCTCCTATTGTCAATGTCTAATTGTCAATATGAAAATCATTAAGAAAAAATAAATTATAAAGAGGGGGAACATCAAAATTTCAAATGATTGTTTTCAATGAATTGCTAGTGTTTTATAAATGTTAACGGATATTTTATAATAAAACACATTATAAGTGTTTGCATACAGGGGCAATTACAGGGACAACTAGGTAAAAGAACTTCTTCTGATAAAAGCAACTGGCATGCCCCACCTTAAGCCAGTCTTATATTCCTTCTTAGATTATACAGAAAGGGATGATTCTGAGTGAAAACAAAACAGAGTCTGAAGACTGTACGTCACAGAGCTGTGTTTGTTTTCTGTTTGATCACAATTGCTTCTTTTTTCTTTTTATCTTCATGTCACCATTTGCTTCTTGACATAATTGCTTGTCTTGTCTTTCATGATCGAGAATTTCTTTGGGAAACAGGATTTTCTCATCAAATACAGCTTTCAAAGCTACAAAAGGAGGAGGAAAATGACATGAAAATCACATCTACTAAGAGTCTCGGTTAAATAAAGTAGCAGGGAGAAAGCTCAAGTTTCTGTCTGAAAAGCTATGTTTCTAGAACCAAGAATGTACAGAGGAGATTTTTTTCTAAGCTTCTGCTGTTCATTTTAGTTTTGTTTAAATTGAAGGCTCTCTCTCTCCCCCTCTCCCTGTCTCTCTCTGTCTCTCTGTCTCTGTCTCTCTCTGTCTCTGTCTCTGTCTGTCTCTGTCTCTGTCTCTCTCTGTCTCTGTCTCTCTGTCTCTCTCTCTGTCTGTCTCTCTGTCTGTCTCTCTCTGTCTCTCTCTGTCTCTCTGTCTGTCTCTCTCTGTCTCTGTCTCTCTCTCTCCCTCTATCCCTCTCTGTCTCTCTGTCTCTCTCTCTCTCTGTCTCTCTCTCTCCCCCCTCCTCTTTTTCTGCCTGTATCTCTGTCTTCCCCTACCCCACCCAGAGCTTGTCCTATCACTTTATGTGTGTAATGACAGAGCTTGGTGATTTAAGGGTGAGGACTAAATAAGCTGGTGTTTTCTGTTTCTGTTTTTTAATCTACTTTACAGCTACCAAGGGCTTGTAAAAACCCAGAACAAATTATTCTGTATTGAAATAAGAGAATTAAAATAATCAAAACACAGTTTGACTGTCTGAATGACTAAACACATACATCTGCAATCATATCCTTAACAAAAAACAAACAAAAAAAACTCCAATGTACAGGAATCTATAGCTTCAAAAAGGAAATAAAAAAGGAAGAGGCAAATTATTCCTATGGCTGTTGATACTACACAGCAATTAGTGGGAAGAAATTGTGCCATGTGTTCAAGGAAATTATGGTTGACCAGCAGTGTAGCTCTGTCTTGAACAAATGCACACTGGAAGTACATTATACAAATGCTTTGTATTAAGGCTACAGGACACTAGTATGCCTAACTCATAGGCTTTTATCTGAAATGATTAGAAGCAGAAACAGTACTTATGCTGGTTATATCATAAATATCATGAAGAATACCATATGGTGCTAACAGAAAGCAGGCTAACACAAATCATGTATAAGTAAATTGAGAATTTATTATATATATATATATATATATATATATATATATAAAGATTAGAGCAAATCTTAGTACTATTTCTTGAAGCTGATGAAATGCAGACAGGATTTTAGTTACTTATCACAAAGGTGGAGATGAAGAATGATTGACAAAGGTGAATAAAAATGTTGGCTAGACAAAGTAAAGTTTGCATAAGTCCAGAGAAACAGGAACTACTTTCCATGTCATGAGATACTCAGTACAATAGAACAGAAGAATAAAGGAAAATAACAGCATGGGCTGAAACAGAAGCTTGGTTAATGAGAATGCTAAATGCTAATCTACAGAACACTGAAAAAGAAAACAAAGGAATACTAACCAGCTTAATAATATAGAGATATTCTGGGCTGGCAAGATGACTCAGAGGATAAAGGGCTTGCTTCACAAACATGAAGATAGGAATTTGGATCCCAGAATGCACATAGAACTAAATTCAGTCTATAATGCATATAGAATGAATGTCTATAATCTTACTGTGCCTGCAGTGAAAGGGGAGGAAGAGGGAGGATAACACTCAGAAGCCCGTCTCCTGTGTTCAGTTACCAGGAGAAAGCAGTGGACCAGCATTGAAGCTGTTCTCAGATGTCCACATCCACACGTGCATCCTCACACATGCACACATGTGTGTGCATGTGTGCACACGCGCGCACACACACACACACACACACACGGATACCCTACACCATCCTATACTCCCCACAAAGATTAGAAGTAAAATAAAATGTGATAAATAAGATAAAAGCACAAAATGAAACAACAGAATAAGTAAACAATAATAGACAAAACACTTCTTACTATTAGAACAAACATGGCCATAAAATTCAGTATCTTTCCCTTTCTATTCTTTAAAATGGATTTCAAGAAGAGAAATGAGGGGAAATCATTCTGGAAATACAGATCATTTTCATAAAAACTCAAGAGGAAGATGCAATCCGCAGCCTACAGGATATGAAGAACACAGCCCAGTAGCTGAGATGGCAAGAGTCACACAAAGAAGAAAATTACACAATGGAGAGTCTAAGAAGGCCAGCACCAGCGGCCCCCAGAGAGAACAAAACAGAGCAACATAAAACAAACGAAAACAACAAACACTCAAGGAACTGAGAGAACCCTTAGAAGTATATCATGGTGGGAACTGGAGAGGTCATCTACAGGGAAGGCAGAGAAACTTTGTCCTCAACATTTTTGTGAGATGATAGAAGCAAGTCAGCCATTGGAGGAAATAATTACAGGAAAACAGAAGCAACTTACTGAAATTTCTTAGGATTCTAAAAGAACACTTAGCTTCGCTGTACACATACATGTTGACTAGACTCCAGCTACCAGTAGTACCTAGGAATTTGTTTTCCAGGTGTAAATAATAGTTCCTAACTTTTCTAGATCTCTTAGGTGAGTCTGACCTAACCAATTAGAAGACATAAAAGTAGTACTGAAGCTTTTCTAAGAAAAGGAAAAAACTCCTCTGTCCAGCATATCCATCTTCCCTTACGACTGAGCTCTCTGTATGTTGTAGTTGCTTTTGGCACCCCACCCAGCCTTAACCGCCTCCTACTCAATATAAGACCATGTTGATTATATTTCCCCGATTCAGTTCTGACTATTGTTCACTACAGAATAGTTGCAAGAGATCATGAAGACAGGTGAATTTGTTGTGGCCTCTGTGACTTGGGGATGATATCTGTTGTATAATCCTAAGAAAGAAGTGTTGTATCCTTCAAACACAGCACCCACTCAGGAACCTAAAACACTGTCGACAAGCTTTAAAGAATCTTACAGAATCCTTGTTCAGAAGGGTTAGCAACAGCCATTATTAGTTGGTTCATTGGTCACATAGATCTTGGAAGCTTCTGAGATCTTTCATTCAGACTTTCAAAGAACGAAACTCCCTATGAGGGCACCATAGTCTCATATGACATCATCCCTGACATGCTTATGACTCCATTCTTGTACTAGACTTTTCAACTACCTCCAGATACAATGACCTTTGTTCTGCCCATGACAGACATTAATTTTGCTTCTACGCTTTTGTGCACAATACTTGAACTATTCCATCTCTCAGAATTTGCCTGACATGCAGGATACCTGTGGGGCTGCCTCTCCAGTCAGGCCTCTCTTCTGGGTGCCTTGGGTACTTCATGGGATCCGCGAATACAGCCCTCTCCTGGATAATGTAGGTACTACATTACATTGCCTCATTTTCTGCACAGAAATTGGTTACTAAGCAGCATGCTTAGATTCTCTGTGATTTATTTACTCATCATGTTAGCCTTCCCATTGCCGTGATGAATACTGAGAAAACAACCTTAGGGAAGGGATCATTAAATTTGGCTCATCAGCTCCTTTGACCCTGTGACTGTGGGGAGGGTGCGCATGGTGGTTGGAGCATGGGGCCCTAGTTAGTACTCACCTCACAGTAGTAGAGCACAGAGGAAGGGGACAGGAACACGTTATAACTCTCAAAGACATGGTCCCAGTGACCAACTTCCTCCATCTCTCTAAAGTTTCCACCACCTCCCCAAAATAGCTCCACCACCTGAGGACCAAACAGTCAATACATCAGAAGAACACGTCATATTCAAGCTTCAATACTTGTCTACTGCCTGTCTCCTCCAAATGATAAATCAACAGAGCAAAACCCTTGCCTGTTCTCATATACTTATATCCTAGCACACAGTATTGGATTTGGTTAATGGAAGGAGATCAAATATTACACTTTAAGACCCTTACATTGTGAAGATTGGAGCTTAATAGTAGTGATAAAAGTGTAGGTTTCCATGGTATCGTGACTATAAGTTCATGTATTTAACTGTAAAGTCAGTCATGGAAAATCAAAGTCTAGGGCCTGTTGAGACCACACAGTGGGTAAAGGCGCTTGATGACAAGTGTAAACGCCTGAGTGCGACCATCAGGAGCCACACAACAGAAGGAAAGGATGAACTACAACAGGTTGCCCTCTAAACTTTGCATGCACATGTTCTCTCCAACTCTGTTTCCATGTCTCTCTCTGTCTCTCACACAGATAGAGATAAATACAAAGATATGTAATAAAAAGTAAAGGTAAAAAGTGGCATCTATGGGCTGGAGAGATGTCTCAGCACTCAAGGCCTCTTGCTGCTCTTTCAGAGGACCTGAGTTCAGTTCCCAGAGCACCAGTTTTGGACAGCTTACAACTGCCTGTAGCAGATGATTCAATGCCCTTTTCTGCCTTCTAAAGGCACAGATGTGTACGGAATATGCACACAGAGTGACATACCCACACACATAAGTAAGAATAAATCTTAAAATAAAAATCTTATTGTTATTGGGGACCATTTGCATTCATTCTTTAATACTTGGAAAAGTATGGCATTAATCCACTCACCACATCATTTCATGGTTGGCTGTCTGACAACATTTTCTAGAATGACAACAGCAAAGTATTTTTAAAGTGATGAGAATGAAGAATGTGCTGGTTGTGAAATACCGAAAACCATTTTCACCGAAGTAACATGATGTCCCGACTTGCAAATGACAAAGCTGGTTTATCTGCTGCCATCTGCCCTTCTTTTCCCCACTAATTGGCGGCCCCGTCAGACTGACAACAGCAGCAAAATATTGAAAGAAGACCTGAAGAGAATGTAAGATTCCATGTAAACAGTGCATAGGAGCCAGCTGTGGATAATCTGAGTGTTCAGGCTGCTGAAAACCTCCCTCACCCACATTTACAGCCACATTCGAAATCCCACTCACTGTCCTGTATCTAACTCCATTGCACATAATGGACATGAGATTCACTTGCTGAAAACGCATTCTGGAGTTGGAGAGATGGCTCAGCAGGTAAGAGCACTGAGTTCAACTCCCATGTCCTTCCAGAGGTCCTGAGTTCAACTCCCAACAATCACAT